CCTTAAATAGATTAATAATTCCCTGCTCATTGCAGGGAGTTGGACTAGATGACCTTTGAAGGTCCCTTCCAACCCAAACTATTCTATGATTGAAACCTGCATAAGTTATCGAAATTCAAAAACTCTTCTGGTGAATAAAAGAAATCAAGACCATTACTGTGGGTGTTATGTTGGACTTTGAAGGGTTCAAGGTAAACCTTCCCCCCCCCCCAGCTTCAGAGGATAGAAATTATCTATAGATTCAACATGAGGGACAACCTTCTAACATTTGCTGGTAAGATACAGTGATCTGTATCTCTCCTTCACCTCTAAAACCTTGTGTTTTTTTATTAAAAAAATTTAATCTATATATAAAATATCCACAGAACCCCCTTTAAAAACACATACCCCCCTCACCCCCAACAACTTTCTTGCATCATTTTTAAAGAGCACAGTTACAGAATATCAGTAGTCTCATTTGTTAAGATCAAATGAGGTGAAAGGCACCAACAGAACATTCTTTAAAGACAGACGGACTAGTAGCTTAGCTTAGGTAAACACACTGCCACACAGGAGAACAAACTACTTCTATTTGTAAGGCTGGCAAGTGGATATATTACAAAAATGGTCTGAAAAAAATATGCAAATACTTTTGTCCTTGTGTACCCTCTAGTGGCTGTGCAAGGTTACACTGGCCTCACTAGCTGAGAAAGGAATTTCCTCAAAAGGACAGAATCAGAGTGCTTACCTCTACAACAGTTCTCTTAAATAGACAAATATTCTTAAGATCAGGGTTCTAAACAGCAACAGTATGCATTATTTGAAGATTTGAGTTTACAACAAATTCTGCCTTGTTAGCTTAATCCAACGAATCTGGGTTTTCCACTTAAGAAATAAGTGGAAATGAAATTAAAAGAAATAACTGGTAAAATACATCAAGCAAGCATTCAGGGCACATGCCTGTGTTGCTGTGCCATGTATGCAGGATGCATGCAAGCTGCAGCAACAGCAGTAAGTTAAGCTGAGTATTAGTTCACCAGTAGTCCTTTAAGGAGGGAAACAATTTGGTACACAGGTTGCAGTGACCACGAAAGAGCCACTTATACATGAAACAGCAATGAACAGCTCAAAACTATTGTACAAGGACATTTTAACCTAGAACAGGCCATTTTGCCTGTATGTGCTGAAGAAGTGTTTTGTGCCAGGGATCAAAACTGTCCTCCACCGTAAGAACACTCTGCAAGTGAAGAGCTAACACTTAATTTAGTTCGGCTTAAACATAAAAGATTGTACAACATCTACAAAATAAATCCACACACAAAAAAAAACCATCCTGCCCATCCAAACTCCACAATAAATAAAGGATTTAGCAAATGTTGTAAAGTGCATTCTATTTTGTTGAGGGAACATGCAGCTGATGAAACAGGAAAATAACAGCAGCCAAAACGAGAATATACAGATGGTAAGTTTATAGCAACTCATATCTATTTCTTCATTAACTGAAGAAACAGCTAGCTGCAGCATTCAGATAAAGATGCCAGCCATTAAACACTGCCAGAAGAAGCACCTTGGGAACTGCTGAAATTTTCAGCATTCAACAAATCACTATACAATATGGGCAGGATGAAAAGTATTTCTGATGTCTATCATTATGTTGTGTCATATAAACAAGGTACTTATGGTAATGACATGATGAAGGCACAGTGTGAGGTAATCAGATTATATACCAACACCTATATATTAATTATAAGAAAAAAAAGATTAATTCACATTCAAGATGAAAACTTCACAAAGAATAGAATCCACATAATGGATGTACAACATGTCAGAAGTAAACCGAATTCCACGCTACATATACAATAAACATCCCTTTTAATAAAAAGGAACTTTTATATTCAGTACAGCATATAGAGTGACAGAGCTGTCTAGTCAGCCCTTCAGACAACTATGAAATAGCTTCCCTTCAGATACAGCAACTGAGAATTTGGCAGCAAGGAAGCTGGCTCCATCTTACAGATGGCAAATACAATTTTCTTCTGTACCTCAGATGTACATCAAAAAAAAGTTCCATGATCAGATAGCCTAGGTAGGTCTTCTTTTACACTACTCATCTGGATAATTTTTATACATTTAAGCAGAAAAGAAAAAAAAATATCTTTCTTTCTGTGTATTTACAGGCCAAATTTAAGAAAGTTTCTCCCTTTTCCATTTTTGAAGACAACATCTAAACAATTCTACTGCTTGTCATTCATCCCCATGCCTGAGTCTTGCAGTAATGCAGTACAAGCTTGCCATCACTTCCAAAACACTGCAAGAAAACAAAAGAAATCAAGACAAGGGCTGTTAAGATTATTCATGGGCTAGCATATACATGAATCAAAACAAACAAAAAAGCCCCCCCACCAGATAACTGTGTCATAGAATAGCTACTGGTAACAAAGCTCTCCATCATAATGGGAGGCATGACAACATCCTGTATGTGAATGAATACATTTACAGGGATTGTATGAAGTCATGTCTCTCTAAATCATACTTATACATATCTGTCATTATCAACTACATTACATTAAATGCAAGAGACCACCAGCTTAGCTAGGCATAGTAACAATTTTCAAGTCCCAGAAGTATACCAGCAAATTCTGCTAAGCACAGTTGGAAAGGATATTTAAGGAGAAAGTCACCTCATAGAGGGTCCCAACTTCTTGGTCTGGAGATGGAGCAAAAGACTGGTTTACATATATGAACTGGAAGAAAAAGAAAACAGAAGATGGAGAGCTCCCATACCTCTCACAGATTACACGGAAGAAACATTCTGCTGCCAGAACTGGGTAAATCTGTCCGCTGTTCACCATTTATGATCTTCAGAGTCCACACCAAAATACCACAAATTAGTATTTTTACTTTGGTGTGGAGGGCTAACATGACTTTCAGGAGCTACCCTTGACTGGCTGTCACAAAGCAAGCGTGCTGCTTTCCTTCTGCTGCAAACCGACTCATCAGCCTCCCATACAGCAGCACAAAATGAACCTACTGTTTTGGTCTTTACTCTCATTTCAAGTATGCAAACCATTCCCACTATCCCAAATTTGCTCAGTTATAACAGCAGTCACAGATATTACAAAACTTTTTGTTCTAAAGTCATCCTTCTCACTTCCTCTACCAAACGTACATATATGCACACAGTAGCTACTCCATAATGTCTAAGAGGGCCTTGGAATCTGCAGCATGAGATAGTGATGTGTAGTACAGTAAACCCTGCTATTTCCAAAGAAGAGTTATTAAATTCCCAGGGCTTTGTTCCTGAAGTATAGCTGTAAGCTTAAACCATACTGGAAGACTCCATGTCCCTGTATTTCCCCCCCCCCCCCCCCCCCCCCCCCCCCCGAGATAATGAGATGGAAGTTAATGAATTAAACTGTTGATAATACCTATGAACACTGTTGATAATATCTATGAACGATAAATACCTGAACTATTAGTCTTCTTTGAGATAGAAGACTCTTTTTTCCCCTTCTTTGGGGAAAAAAAACCCAAACCCTTCAGGATTTCTAGATAAGAGATACACAGTGAAACTCTTTATGCTTATGTGCTTAAATAAGAGCCTGTAGACCAAGAACAGGGTAATTTAATCTACACTTTGGCTAAACATTTGACTGTTTTAATGAGTCCAGTTTTAACTTTACATCTTAAATGAAAGCTTTGAAATGCATGTATCCCTGTTAAGCAAAAAACTAGTACAATCATATTTCTGACTCTGTTCTAGCTCTTCCAATTTTATCAGAAGGCCACTTGGGCTGCACATGAAGGAACACATAAGCAATATTGGTAATATGCTGCCAAACTGTGAATGTTTCTAAGGTACTCCATTTTAAAGAGAAGTCAGTCCTACTAGTAAGTAAGCTGTTTGAGAAGTTTGAAGAAAGCAGACATCAATATTCAGAACACCAACCCCAAACACTTTATAGACTTTCCCCCAAATACTCCCTTCTGTATACCTGACTTCTACAATTACACTGTGTGTATGAACCTTTCACTGAAACGCATCATTGCATTTCACATTGCACACAGCTCTGTACGGCAGCATCAGACAAGAACAGACACTGCAAAAAGCCCATAAGTTGCATGGACTTGAGCACCTGAGCACATCCAAACTGCACCACGATGGCTCATGTCAATGTGCAGCACAGCTGTGTGTACTTTGAGTAGTTTTCCTGGTGTCCCTACACCAGTTGTCTACCAAAAGCCGTGGTCTACATACATATAGCATCCCTACAAGGTGAAACGACTCGGCCTCGGGGTGTGCAGAGTTCCCTGCCACGGCTATTCCTGCCCTTCCCGGGATGTGCAGGCCAGGCTACCAGCTGCGCCTACCAGCTGCTCGGAGGCCATTAGCTTGAGGAACTTCTTGATGAAGTCGACGAGGCTCTGGATGGTGCGGGTTCGTTCCACGGCCCACTTCTTGGTCTTCATGATAGGGGTGTCGCCCACGGCCTTGAGCAGGACGTCAACTGCGGGGATGACCGAGCGTCAACACTGCGCCCCCACTGGCCGGAGCCACCCACTCACCACCTCCGATTGGCCAGCGCACCTGCCCGTCATCCACAGACCCGCCCACCTGCCCCGGCGGTGGCTTCTCGCACCCTTACTTTTCTTTTTCGTGTCTCCAGTGGCCTCCTCGGTGCCCGGTGAGCCGGCCGGAGGAGGGGCCGCATCAGCACCCCCCGCTGCAGCCCCGCCGTCAGGGGCTTCTTCCCCGGCTTCGCTTCTTTCCTCGCTCTGAGGCGAGGCAGGCACCGGCTGCTCCTCCACTTCCGCCATCCTACTGCAGACAGGAGCAGCTGCCCGGAAGTAACGCCGCACGGCGGGAGGGCCTGTGGCTGCGCAAGGCGTTTCGTTCCTTGCGGGCCGGTGCCTTCCTGTCAGGTGACGGGGCGGGGCGTTGCGCGAGGTTGCGCGGGTTCGGGACGTTCAGCTGCTAACGGGCCGCCGGCGGCGCGTTGCAGTGCGAGCAGTTGCTGCGGCCTGAGAGTGGGGCGTGAAGGGCGGGCAGGAGGAGGAGCAGGGGCAGCGATCCCGGCGGCCGCCGCCCCACCATGATCAAAGCCATCCTCATCTTCAACAACCACGGCAAGCCGCGGCTATCCAAGTTCTACCAGCGCTATGTACGGGAGGCCGCGGCCGCGCGGGGCCTGTCACCAGGCCTGGGGAAGGGAGATGTGAGGGGCGGTTGTAACCGGGAACTCTTCCGGCCCTGCCCCACTGCCTGGGGTGAATCGTGGTGACTGCTGCTCCGCGATTCAGGGCTCAGGGCGTGGGGAAATGGGTGTGCTGGGTATCGGTAAGGGAAATGACGTTCCGAAACCTGGTTTTCCAGACACCGTTCTTTTCTCTGGAAATTACCCTTTGGCACACTGAGGGTGGAGGAAGGGAGTTTTGCTCCGCGGCGGGCTCGGTTCTCTGAGTTTATCTGTGGAAGCGCCGAGCTGCCGTGATTTTTAGCCTAATCGGCGTCTCTGATTTAGTGCGGCATATATCAGTGCTGTGGCAAGGGTGTCAGAAATGCGAAGATGGGTTTTATGGGATTCACAGATTCACAAATAAGCAGAGCCTCTTCCCTTGGAAACTTTCAGAATACTGTAAAAATATAGTTGACATGAAAAAGAAATGTGATGGAATAGAAAAGTATATTCTGTTACTGGGGAGAAGGCAAGTAGCAAGGCAGGTCTGAAAATGCAGCACAAGGGCTTGAACTGAATGGAAGTGCAGCCACAGAGAATTGAGACGTGGAAACAATTAATGTCATTCAAGGATAAAAAAAAAAAAATTAAGGCAGTGTTTTTATCATGTAGTGTATCTGCTAGCAGATAAACTAAGCTCTGGGCATTAAACCTTGGGCATTAAAACACAAAAAACGACTGATGCATCCCCAAATAGTGTAAACAAAATATTCTTGTTCAGTAGTGCTATTGCTGACTTGGTTTTATGGCTACATACTTTCAGTTCTGGCTACTACAGAAGTCATATTTATTGGAAGGGGTGTATCTTACTTCTGCATATTGAAGCAGAAATGATAACTGTGACACTTCTGTTTCCACAGTCAGGCTTTTAATTGGAGGAGTGTAACTGACAGAAGTTGTTGCTATGGGCTACTGAATTTGATCCCTTTTCTTTAGAACGGCAATACTGGGAAATACTAATACTTGTTTGTTAACCCATTTTCTTCTTTGTCCCAGTTCTGGGTTACCAAGTGGATATCTTTCTGTATTTACTCTTTCTGATTTAAAAATTAAAACGGTATATTTTAATTTTCATGATAAGCATTGCCCTTTGTCATGGTGTAACTGAAAAGTCCTTGATCAGGGTCAGCATTATGTAGCAGCAACTAAAAATTGGTGTGTTAGGAGCATTGTTCTCAGACTAAAGCCAAAACAGAGTCCTGCACCAGGTACTAAGAAGAAAACTATCCCAACCAAAATCATTACACCCTTGTGTGCATTCCCACTCTATTCTTGGTCACTTCCAATGCAGAGCTACAGGAACTTACTAGAGAAGTTGATTGGTTTTATTTTTTTTTCCTCTGTGTGGAGGTAACCAGTAAGTGAAACACTTTGGAAAGGTATACAGAGCATGTATCAGTGTGAAACAGTTAACTTCCGTTGTCATTTTCCATTCAAATGTGTCTACTTTTGTGTCTCCACAAAAATACAGCACATGAGACTAAAATTATGTGATCAGGTGATTTCCCTAAAGCTTTGTGGTGCACAGAGACCAGTACAGTTGTCTTGGTTATCTTTTTGAGTGTGGCTTCAGTGAGACAGGTTTATTTATGGTCATTTTGAAACTTACACATACTTTAATATCGATTGAACCAGTACTGGAGGCAAATCTCATGTTTTTTTTTTTTTTTTTCCTGCAAGGGGAAGCATCCACTTTCTAAAGTAGTTTTCAAAGTATGTCTGAAGTTGCTCAGGCTATGGTGGAGATAAGAAAATTTCATAATATTTGAGAAGACTTTCTGTTCACTTGAAGAAACTGTTTTTAGAATTTATTTTTCCTTAGAAGTTTCTTAAAAACAGTAACTTTTTTTCTACAGTTGTTTATCAGTAATGTATTCTTTTGTGACCTGCAAAAATATCATTTTGTGCTGAAATGATAACAGTGATATGCAGCTTGTAAATTGGCAGATCTGAGGCTTCAGAAATCATTTGAGGGTGCTATATACCTTGTGTTGTATTTATTAGATGTGAATGGTGTGCATTGTTAATGAATCCATTTTAGCTTGATAGCAAAATGTGTTTTTTTTCATAGAGTGAAGATACGCAGCAACAAGTTATCAGAGAAACTTTCCACTTAGTATCAAAACGTGATGAAAATGTCTGTAACTTCCTAGAAGGAGGATTGTAAGTATAAATACTGGCTAGCAAATATAATTACTTGTGATTATAATACACTTGTTTGTACAGTTCTAATGTAAATGCTGCATCACTTGAGATATTTTAATACAGAAAGACTAATATGTTGCACATACATATTCTTTACTAACTGAAGCATACATATACATGTATATATGTATGTATCAATATGAGTTAGGCAGTAAAACTGTTTTTTCTAGAGCAGTAACTGACACAGTGCCATATCTAGTGCTATAATTGTTTCAGACACAAGATGGCAAAGAAACAGGCAGATGATACCTAACCATTTTCCCTAAATCAAGCTAGGAATTTCCAGTCTCCATTCAGAAACCAAGATTCTTTCATTAGATAGAGTAAGGTAGGAGGAAAGCCACACGTCTTCTGTCTCTGGAAGACACACACAAAATATTATTTCTTGAATCATCATGTTGTTTTTTCTAATGTGGTTTTGCTTTAGTTGAAGAGAATGAATTCTGAGATGGAAGTGTTTTATTTTGAGATATTCGTCATCAAGATTAAATAGTTACAAAACCACCTTCTAGGAAAAGTGGTCACAATAGAGTATGCCCATGGTCTCCAGTCTAAACAGAGATTGTCACAGCCTGTTAAGTACTGTAATTGTGGAAATTTCTGGTAACTGAAAGTTAGTATGCTAATGCCTAAATTTGGTGCAGAGTCAGTTAAATGCTTACCTGTACCATGTCAGATCAAGACGATTCCTGATTATTTTTTTTTATTATTTTTTTAAACTAAAATAGTTCTCTTCCAGTTGTGCAAATGTTGATTTGTCTTTAGGTTCTTGGAGGTGATTTCAGGCTGGAACATGCTGGCCTGAGTTGTGTAAGTGAAAGACAAGCCGTTTGGAGCCTTTTTTAAAAAATCACAGCTGTGCAACAGAAAGAAACTAAGACAGAAGATACAATTCTGGCTTTATTCCTACTGCTCAATTCCAGAGTTACCATATCAATATATTTTTTCAGTACTTTTTGTTTTTCCAGGACAGGGATCACTTTGTAGTTTGCACTTTACCCAAAGGCCTCAACAGTTTATATATACGCTAACTCTGTGAAGTGAAGTATTTGGAAGAATTGGCTAAATAAAGCACAAATATTTGCCATTTCTTTCCACTGCCACATTTTTTTTTGTAATATTTTTGTTTGATACTTCTTAAACATAGTTCTTGCTCTTCAGGGTTCTCCCTCCCATCACCCAAGCATTAATGCAAAACAATGAGCTGAAGCAAAAGTGTCCTAAAAGATTTCTTGTTCTTTTTATTTATTTAAGTATTCTCTCCCTGTGATAAAGGGATGAGACATGGTACTCCAGATGGGTGATTCAGTTCTGGTACAGGATTAAGGAAGAATTATATACATAGCACAAGCTTCAAGCTACAAAATATTTTCGTTTCTATTTGAATGAGCCTCCTATTGCTCAAAGCAAATGTTAGTGATCTGAAGAAACATGATTTATGTACCTTCTTTGGGAAGGCTGTAGCAGAAGAGTGGAAGGAAATACCTGTTCAGACCTCTTATCTTCTTGTTTAGTAACTTGATGATTAGTGAGTCCATAAAAACTTAATTGCTTCTGTGACTTTATCATTGTATCACAAACTATTGGTTGTAGTACAGTGTTATTTCTTAAGATACCAAGCATTTTGTAGCATGTGAGTGTTACCTGTTCTTTGTTATTAAGTGGATCATAAACCTGACTTAAGGCTATTTCTGTAATCCAAATGCCAGTCTATGTTATAGTTTCCTGTTGATGCCGCTCGGAGAAGGGCAGGGAAGAATTCATAGACATGTGCTCTGTTAATCTGTAAAGCAGATTAATCCTTGTACGGTGCCTGTTAGTGTGTAATGGAAGTACATTCAATACTTTTTTTTTTTTTAATGACACTGCATTATCTTTTTTAATTGATTTTAATAAAATGGTGCATATGTTGATATAATTAATATCCATATGGATAACAATAACTGTGCTTCTGTGATAAATGTAATTTGGGCTGTTTGGTACCTAGTATTCTTCCAACGTAATTATATCACAAAATAAAAGTTGTGGTACGGTTGGATTTGGGAAAGTTCCAGCCAACCATTAACAATAGGTCTCCTATTAACTAGAATAACTGTGAGGATTTCCCCAGCTTATCCTGAGAGGCTAACTAAGCTTTCCTGGTTTTTTTCCTGTTTAGATTAATAGGTGGATCTGACAACAAACTAATTTACCGACACTATGCCACCTTGTATTTTGTCTTCTGTGTGGATTCTTCAGAAAGTGAGCTTGGCATTTTAGACCTCATACAAGTAAGATTTTTTTTTCTGCTTTGTTTTTTTTTAGTAAGTGAACTTCTGAGTACTTGAGAGCTTCAATATTTAGCTGTATTTTTTTCTGTGACACTTGGAAGGGAAGGTGGCTTTCATACTGTGAACACACATGAAGTTGTTTGCAATCAGAAAGTATTTTTTGATAGTATGTTTATTTCTGTTTTCTGGACTGTCTCTGAAAAAATTATTTCCCAAATTGATGAAAAAGGAAGGAAACAGGTTGTTTGGAACTGACTGAAAAATCAGCAGCTGTTTTTTTGGTGCAGCTTTTCAATGCCTTGTTCTGCAGGCAAAAAAATGGTGCAGTTCAAACATTTGCTAGAGAAATTTGGATTATGAGAACCTTGATAGATAAGGTTCTCTCTGTGTCTTTATGTACCCACACAGACACATAGACACACAGCCATACACATATATATGCATATGTATGTATTCACTACAAATATATAATGGATTAACACATCCAGAACTTTTTTGGATGAAAATTTCCTTGTGGTTTATGAGCTTTGGGGCAGATATACCTTAGAAAACGAGAGGAAATGCTGCCCTAGTCATATGTTCTGCACTGAGAGGTGGGCGGGGAGAAGTTAGGAGAAAGAAGTAGAGTTTCTTTCTGAGTCTCAATAAGAATTAAAATGACTTAGTTAGTTAACTGTTTAGTAAAACAGAATTAAGAATAGGAATGTAGATAATAAATCTTACAACCCTTGCTGTATCCCATATTCATGCAGCATCAATGGTGAAAACCCAGGTGGACTTTCTCACAGTGTGCTGTGCAGAGTGTCCCCTGTCCATGGAGGGATGCTCTTCCTTTATTGGACCTTTGAGCCGTTACATAACTTCCTCACAAGAAAACAACTCTTTACCTAAAGGGAGTTCTCATGACAACTTCCTGCTGCAGTTTGAGGTACAGACAAGGTCATACAAGTGGTGCAGTCACTGATACCAAGCAGGAGCTTCCTGCAGGGTCCTCTGTTACAGTGAGCGGGCTGAGTTTATCTTGCAGCCAAGGAGTTTGTGCAGCACAGCACAGGCCTGTGCCTACTCAGTTTGTTAACTTGGATCACTAACTCCTAACAGTCTCTTGGTCAGGATCAGTGCATTCCACTCTTTGACACAACTATAGTTCACCTTTCCCAAAGACATAAGTTAAAGATCACATTAATAAGATACAGGCTTCTGAAGCCTATTAGAGCACACTCAAGCCTATAGATCACAGACTCCTTCAATACAATGTCTTCTGCAAGGCTCCCAATACAGCAGTTGTGATTTAAACTGTTAAATATGTCTGTATCTACTCACCAACAAAATTAGGCCTGGTAATATGAACACATGTCAAGAGAGCTCTGACTGTACCAGTGAATTTTCCAAGTTCAAATTTGCACATAAACAATTTCACTGATGATTTTTAGTGTAGTCAGATGTAGCAAAAAATAGTTTCACAGCATGATGTGATGTATGTCATTACATAAAATGGGTCTTGGGTGTATATGTATGATTCACTTACTACTAAGCCTTTCAGAACCTTGCACATCAAGGTTATTAGTTTATTACATAAGTAAAATCTGTGGTATCCTGAAAAATGGGCCTGTATCTATTAATTATTTCACTGAAGAAAGCAGTGTGAGTCTTAAAGGCATCACAGTTCCCTGCAGACCTTTCTTGGATCTGTATAGCTTCTCATGGTCACCTGTTAGTGTTGAAAGCTGCTCTTCAGTATTTAGTGCCCTTCTGCACAGTAGATCCAGATTGCCCTCAAATTCTCTGGATTAGGGAGATGTTAAACTTTTCTTTAAATTGTGTTGCTTCTTGTACCAGAAATACTTTGATGGATTATAATCTCTCAGTCTTTATCATCGTTTTCATTACGCTCCAATGTTTAGTTACTTGTCAGTATAATTACTTGAAGGAATCAGAAATAGTAAGAATACTATTTCTATTTATAGAAATACTTTACTTTTTTCTTACCCACATGATTTTGTTTATGAATAGTCTCACCATAGGACCAGCAGCTGTTCATTATTCCCATTTGTCTAGGTCACTGTAATTCAACCATTTGATTGTAGTAGAAAGTATACAGAGATCAATTAAATATTTTTCTTTCCAGTCTGGCTCGCAGGAAGGATCTGTTTAATTTCTTAGCAATAGCAATCAAATTTAAATATATCTTGCACTGGAAAAGTGCCCTCAAGGTTTATTAGCACATCTCAACCTCAGTTGCAATGCAGATTGGCAGTATATACACATATACATCTACTCAAGCAAATACGTTTTGTCTGGGTTTTTGTTTTTTTTGTTGAGAAGTGTTGAACCACTTTCTTACATCTTTGTTTACTATAGCTCAGAGAAAACACAGGTAAGAGTAAGCCATTTGGAATTTGTTATAGATAATACATATACCGAACTGTTTAAGTAGTTATGTGAAGGGCCAGATTATGATCTCATGAAAATAAACTGGTGAAATGAACCCAGAATTTAAGGGTTTTCTCTCTTGTAAACTGAGTAAGTCTGTGGTAGCTTAGATTACATATTCATTCTGCAGTTATTTTCAGCATAAAGATTTTGTTGTAATACTTAAGGTACTTACGTGAAGGCCTGTTAACATCACCATTAGGTCAGAACTGTTTCACAAGTCATCTTGGTTCAGGCTCAGTTTTGCAACACTGGTCCAGGCTAAATTTGCAACACTGTATGTGTTGCAGATCATACACTCTGCCTCAGATTTTGTACTGTCTTCAAACTAAATGTGTTTGAACAGTTCAGGCAAATTCATACTGTTAAGATTTGTCCATTTTCTTTCTTTTTTTTAATAAGCACAAGAGTCTGTTTATTTTTGATTAATTGGATGGGAGATGCATCAGCATTTGTGCTATGCTTTTGATAGGTTTTGCAGTCTTTTGGATTCAGTGTAAATTAATTCATTAGTTGTAGTTATTTCAGACTCTTCTCATTAGCCTGTGAAGTGTAAGGTTATAGCGCATGGAAATTACATAAGAAAATATAACTAGCTGTAGACTGCCATGTGGAAAAGTTGAGTGACATTTAAATGGTGCCTAACTAGCCTAGGGACATAAAACTTATAACAACTGCACATTTTTTAGGAGTTTAGCACACTGATGTACTTCCAAGACATGTTGACTCAATAAGCAGCTAAGTATGAGATCAGTCTTCCATGAAAAGTTGTGTATAGCCTATCAAGGTAAGGATGTTCGGTAAGAAACAGGGAGAGGCATATGACTGGGATACCTATTTTGACAGCAGAAAAATCACGAAATACTTCTCAGGTAACACTATTATTTTATTTTAGAGTTCAGTGAAAAGCAAAGGGCAGGAATTAAGAACAAAAAAGCCACACTGACCTAAAAAGCCCTTCATGGTAAAGAGGTGTTTTATGTTTTGACATGCTGCTCTTTATAGGAAGCTTGTATATATCCAATAACAATTTGGTATTTTGCTTCATGTACCTTACTCTGTAGGTGTGTATCTGGCTTTGTTAAAGCATAGTTACTACAAAAGTGTGGGGTTTTTCATATTTTTTTCCCCACTTTTTTATTTTTCATTTTATTTTCTTATGTTCTCCTCACCCCCCACTCCACCCCTTTTTACTTCCATGGGGATATGCTTGCGTATTTCTTTGAAAGATTATGATTTAAAAAATTAAGCACAAGGGGGAGCTAGTAATACATTGTGCCTATATTCCATGTATCCTTATTTTCCTGCTATTTGACTCTTATTTGTGGTTCTTTTCCGAGAACATCACAAGGCTCATTTGAACTGGTGTATGGAGGGTGTGCGTGTGTCCCAAAACAATTGGTGTTTTTTTTTTCTTCTGGATATTGTGGCTGCAGCATCTCGAGCAATTACTGAAGTACTTGAATTCTATCACTGCTTGCCGCAGTGTGCAATTCACTTGACTCTCGGCTAAAATTATGCTGAAGGCTTTAATTTTATTTACCATATTGATTATTTGAGGACATGTTAAATTAGGTAGGTTAAGGAGTGTTAGTGTGGAAAATCTACTTCACCTTGCAGACTAATGCTTTTAAAGACTAGTTGCTCATTATGGATGTATACCTTGTCAGTGCTGACATTACTCTGTACTCTTCTCCGTGAATGGAAGATTGAGGAAGTTTCTGAAATTTCTGTGAGAAATCCTTAGCCAGTGAAAAATCTCTTTGAAGAATACTCAGTGCCTGCTGATTTCCCTTAGAATAAAAAATGCTTTATACATTTTACTGGTCATTCATCAAGCAGAGATCTGTGGCTTGATTCAGTGGGTTGTGTTGTCACTATGTAATGGACAAAGGTTTAAAAGTAACCATTGTAACTGTGATTCAGGTGTTCTTATAGGAGAAGACCTAGTTACTGGAAGAAGGTCAGAAGAATGAAACGTATGTCTTGTTGATGTGTGGACATACAAGCTGCTACTAAATAGAGATTAGCAAGGGCCTTTTATGAGAATTTTTGAGTTTTTAACATGTTCATTTATTTTCTAAAGAACTAGATGGATGTCAATGAGTATGTAAATTCATGTGCAAACTTGGTGATGTATATGAGGAATATATATATATATTTAATGGCATCAAACTGTTAGCTTCTGTAACTAAAACCTTTGGATAAGGGTAATGTTTACAATCTATTTCCAATCTTCTTCCTGCAGTTGCTATCAAACAGCATTGTCCTTGTAACCACATTCTCCTAAGGTTCAAGTAAAGTAAGAGAACATCTCTGGTCACTTGTCTTGCTGTACATAGTTGTGAACTGTGTAGTTTGTTCTGCTTAACTTGTAAGTTTTTCACTTTGCTCACATTTCTTCTTTACACAACCGTTTTCATCACAACAGATTAACAGCTAATTGAAGGAAAATCTGCTTTGCTTTGTGCTTCTGTTAAATTACACTGAAGCTTTCATTTACTTAGTTAACTGTTGTCAATGAACCTTGCTGTCTTGAGTCTGCCTGTGAAAATGCTGTTTGTTCCTGGTTTAAGTTATGAATTGGTATTTTGGTATTAAAGAATAATCTTTGTTCTGAATGCATAGAACATCAGTTAGATGTAGTTTGATAATAGTAGTTATAAAAACAACAAATGGTGATCCTCCTCTCTGTTACAGGAGAATAAATGCAAGCAGGATCTGAGATCAGGGATTCAGATGTGAAAATAATCTTTCTTCGTGGATATCCAAAGTAGACGACTGTAAATGGCTAATATCGTGTAGGCCTGTTTCACGGGGTCTGCAGACATAAATCTTTGCCTATAGAAGCAGTCGTTTTATCCACAAAGAGCCATGATAAATGGAGTTAAATCCAGTTGGTGGCTGGTCACAAGTGTTGTTCCCTAGGACTCAGTACTGGGGCCAGTTCTGTTTAATATCTTTAGCAATGACCTGGGTGAGGGGATAGAGTGCACCCGCAGTAGGTAAGGTAGAGTGAAGCTCCCAGGGTGGGTGGAAGTGTTGATCTGCTGGAGGGTAGGAAGGTTCTGCAGAGGGATCTGGACAGTGAATCATTGGGCTGTAGCCAGTGGTATGAGGTTTAACGAAGCAAAGCGCTGGGTTCTGCCCTTGGGCCACAACAACCTCATGCAGTGCTACAGGGTGGAGGAAGAGTGCCTGGAAAGCTGCCCACAGAAGAGGACCTGGAGGTGCTGATTGATGCCTCTGAACATGAGCCAGCTTGTGCCCAGGCAGCTAAGAAGGCCAATGGCTTCTTTTCTGATGAAACAGTGTGGCCAGCAGGGCCAGGGCAGTGGTCATCCCCCTGTACTTGGCACTGGTGAGGCTGCACCTCCAATCCTGTGTTTGCTTCTGAGCCCCTCACTACAAGAGAGACACTGAGGTGCTGGAGCAGGTCCAGAGAAGAGCAGTGAAACTACTGAAGGGCCTGGAGCATAATGAAGAGCAGTGAAACTACTGAAGGGCCTGATGAGGAATGGCTGAGGAAGCTGGGTATGTTTAGTCTGGAGAAGAGGAGGGTTCGGAGAGATCTTATCACTCTCTACAGCTACCTAGAAGGAGGTTGTAGTGAGATGTGGGGATCAGTTTCTTCTCCCAAGTAACAAGTGGTAGTATGAGAGGAAGTGGCCTCAAGTTGCTTTGGGGAGGCTTAGACTGGGTATTAGAAAAAATTTCTTCACCTAAAAGGTTGTCAGGTACTGGAACAGGCTGCCCAGGAAAGTACTTAAGTCACCATTCCTGGTGACTCAAAAGATGTCTAGATGTGCTGCTCAGTGACATGTTTTAGTCGTGGACTTGGCAGTGTTAGATTAACAGTTGAACTTGATGATCTTAAAGTCTTTTCCAACCTAAACTATTCTATAATTTTTGTCAAGCAAAACACGGCTTCTTATTCTTATTTCTCTGAGCCTAAGCAGTTTGAAATCTGGTTCCTCTCAAAGACTAAGATAGGATTAATAAACCATGTTGAAAAGAGAGAGAATTGAGACCATATTTCTTCCATATTTCTGCCTTAGGGTTTGAGGTTAGTACTGAAAAAAAAAAAAGAAAAAAAGACAGTGACAACTAAATAAAAAATATTAAATGCGTATTGTGACAAAACAGTCTTGAAACAAAACTGAAGTCAGAATTTCCCACAAGTTGCATCTTACTTATTTGTCGTTAATAAAACATATGTTTAACTTGGAAGTCTTGACATCTCATCTGAATAGGAGTTATCCCTTGCATAAGGGAACTGCTTATACCTCTCTAGGACTGGAGTCTTGTCAGTACTTTCCACAAGGACATTGTTCTGAGTGAAGCATTCAGGAGCTTCACAAGTGCAAGTACAATCATCTTTTCATTATCAGGCCTAATTGAAATCTGGGATGCAATTAGTGTACCAATACTGGCTGAGTGCCAGGAAATCTGTCACAGAAATATCTGGAGCATCATAACGTGCAGTTCATATCTGGCAAAGATCATCAGTGGCCAGGCTTCAGCAGTTGCTTTGATTTTTTCTGTTTTGTGTGCTTACATTCTAGGTTCAGGGAGGGGTTATTTGCCTGGGTACAAACTGCTGGACTTCTCTAAATTTATTTGGTGGTATGCCTGACAGGATCAGCAGGTGTGACATTAAGACAGTTAGGACAGCTGCCTTTTCCTTTGGTTCATCCTGAATTCAGCAGGTCTATAAACCAGGCGAAAGCTGCTCTAGTTACCAGGAGCCATAATGCTGACAAACTTGCATGATGCTGACAGTTTTTATTGCTTATGTGTCTCTGTACTGCGAAGTAGTTAACAGTAGTCTGGTTGACCAGGAGATGCCTACAACATAGTAATTGTCAAAACCAACAATAATAATAATGGAAAAATTAGCTGATTTTTTTTAATAATTGGGTTGGATTGGGAAGGAACACTTTGAATCACAGGTGAGAAAATTATAGCATAGATGATGCACGTATTGTTTAAAACTCTGATTTTTAGTGGTGTTGTAACATAAACTGAATTGTGCATACAGTTTTGCCCTCTGCGGAGAACATACTGTTGGCATAATAATGTTAACCACATAATTTCTATAGATGCTTTTAATGCCCTAAATCTGCCCTGATGAAACTATTGAGTTTCTGTTAAGTTTGACCTCTGGCTTTTTTTCCTTTTTGCAGGTATTTGTGGAGACACTAGACAAATGTTTTGAAAATGTGTGTGAACTGGATTTAATTTTCCATGTAGACAAGGTACTGTGGTGAACTCCTGTAATACTTCTTGTCAAGTAAAATGTTTGGTTCAACTGATACTTGGTATTAAACTCTGCAGCGAGTCCAATTTTATTGTCGGATCTAGAAAGTTTCAACATACTATTTTTAAGACTTGAAAACTGTTTTTTCTGAGGAAAAATAATAATATGGGAGATTTGCATGGTGTTACTGCACATATAATTGTAAAATTGGAGACATCAGATATTCTCAGAGTAGGACTTAGTTTCAAGAAATAATCTGTTTTGTTTACGGTTAAGTATTATATTCCTCACAACTGAAACTGTTACAGGGTTTCCCAGTTAAGGCTGGTAGTTGCCTTTCAGATGCTATGATTATGTAATTTAAATGCTGTGTGAATCTTTCTCTTCTAAATTTCAAACAGGCATTATGTCTTTTTTCAGCCATTCAGAGCCAGTCTTGTTTGAATATTCCCAGTTATCAGGAACAGGTGGTTTATTTATTAAGCTAGTTTTGAGAAATGGTAATACTAAAGGAATTACTAAAGTAGTCTTTTATTTAAAAGGTTGTTGGCACCTCTTGGAGTATTAACTCACAAGGCTGAGAATTGAATATACAGAATTTATTCCTTCGGTTGCATTTTGTGCCTACTGCTCCTTTCTGTGCGGTCACCTTTCCCCATCTGTGAAAATTTTATTGTATCAAGAGCAAAAGATGCAAAAGGAAAGTAAGACAATCACTAAAAGTGAACTGAAAACAGTAACAGTAACAAGTTAGGTATCTGAAATAACCATTTAGAACTGACTCAGTTTGTTTAAAAATCAGGAAGTTCTTTCGGAAGAAGCGTTTGTACTGTGACCAGACAGTGAAATGCAAATGACCTTGAGTAGGTGTTTAAACTGGTATCATGCTCATGACAAATCATTAGGATTTCCAGTCTGGCTGGAAGATGTTGGTTGTTTCCAAAATGAAATACTAAAATACAGAAGAATTTTAGTGGCTGATACGTTGGCTTCTGAGCATAAAAAACCGAAATACTGCAGTCATTTTGTGGCAAAGAGTTTGATCTTCAGCTGCAGAATGTTTTATCTTCTGTGCTGTCTGAGCTGTTACGCTGTTGCATGTTTCCTTCAGTAGCATTCCTTCACATAAGTATTATTTTACACTTTATGAGAAACATCTTTCTAATAAAATATAGAGAACTGAGGTGCTTCAGCGTGTTAAATTTCTTGGAGAATATTTTACTTTGTATCAGATATGAAATGATATTTTCTTTTTGAAAACTATTTGTTAAAGGGAAGCTAAAATTTGATTAGATATTTAGGCTAGCATTTTCAAGCCTAAATACTAATTATATACTTTAGCAGAAGCAGCCCATTTCCAAAATAAAAAATGAATGAAACCTTGAGTCAAGAATTTAAGTAAGGATTGTTATACTTTCCCCTAAGTATTTATTTGATTCTTAAAGCTATACTCAGAAGCAATAGGCAGAAAGGAAGAGTTGTTTTCAGCTTCTCTAAACACAATTGTATATTTATACTGAAAGACACTAATGATTTATCAGGGAAACAACTCTTCAGTTTTGTTTTGGAGGTATGGCACAAAAATTGGAAGTGTGGTAGTTTTCGATATACTACTTGCATCTCATCTTTAGAATTGTTTGATTCAGAGATTTACTTCTATCCTTGATCCACAAGGAAATCGCAAGACTATCCAAAATAATAGCAGAATTATGCTTTGAAGTATCAGATTGTACAGTGTGTTTGTTTCAGAAAAGTAGTAAAGTAATAAAATGTTCCTTGTCCTTAGAATTATAATGGAATTTAAATATTACACATTACATATTATCTCTCAATTTTCACTTACAATATGAAAGCCTGCCTTAAAAAAAAAAGGAAAAGTCTTAGATAAAGTCTTAGATAAAATGCAGATGTGGACTCTTGAAGCAGAGGTTCATGAATGAGGGCTTACATCTCCATATCAGGGTTGCAGGGAAGAGGGCTATGTAGACATATCCTTTTCATTAATGTCCCCAGATGGCTTATGTAGTCCTACAGTTTGAGACCTAGTTGTTAGTCTTAGTCCTAAAAGCTGAAACTTCCTGTTCATGGTGTAGCTCAGGTATGTTAATTCTCCTTATAAGCCTAGTCTTCATACCTGTGGTAGGTGAGCATCACTGTGTCTCTTCCTGCATAGATGTAGCCCAAAGTAGTTTTTACACATCCATGTGTGAGCAATTTGTTTAAACTTGTAGAGCCTGCTCCTTAAAGGTATTGCTGCTATGGATATTAATTGGAACTCTTGTCCATAGTCCTTGGATAGAAACCAAGTCCTGAAAGAAAGATGAAGGTGAAAGTTTCTTCTACTATTAATAAGTGAAGTGGTATAGCTGATGAGTTTGTAGCAGAACTATGAACAAGAAGATATTGGAGAAATGAACCTCAAGTTGTTCACAAATGGTTTTAATAAATTGCTAACATTAAGTGACTTACAAAATATATATTTCTGTATTGAGGACTCTGGGTATGATCTGTACAGATGCATTTAGAACATACTGCATTTTTAAATTTTCTTTTGATCTTTTTTCAGGTCCATAATATATTGGCTGAAATGGTCATGGGTGGAATGGTTTTGGAGACCAATATGAATGAAATTGTCACTCAGATTGATGCTCAAAATAAACTGGAGAAATCTGAGGTAAGAGTGACGTACTGTGTGGTTTCTAAACTTAAAAACATGGTTGCAGTAAATGCTTGCTATCTAACGCTGTTTGTGTTCAGTAGTAAAAAATATACAGCTTCTAATGCTAAAAATGAAAAATGTATCTTTAGGTTAGGATGTTGCATCTGTCATCATAAGTAATAATTTCTTAGAGGTGCTTCTGCTTAGTTCTTGCTATTTGTGTATAATAGCATTGTTAGCCATTGTTATTGGCATACTTCTGTAGTTCTCTAACTTTCTCTTGAAGAAAACATTTTATTTCCAGTGTATTTATTACACTGGACTAGTGACTCTAATAGTTAAATGAAAATAGGTAAAGAACTAAAGTGTATATACAAAGACTACATATTCCTGTCTGCTAGAATGTTTCTAGCGCCTGAAATTTCTTGCAGCGTATTTAGCATCACAATAATAATATTGCAATGAAAAACAAGAAATTGGACTGAAATGGACTGAAAGCCCAGTTTTAGACCTTCAAAGTAAATACGAATTCTTCTGTTTTGGTTATCTGAACATTTGGTCTTCAGCTGAGTAGGTTCGAGTAAGAAAGTGATACTCTGTGTATGCCCATAGCAGTCTGAGTGGGGGTTACTCACATAAGTTGTGGGAATCCCTTTTCAATTCAACAGTTGTTGAATTTATGTATAGGAAAAACTTAGACTAAATAAGGGTTCTAGAATTACTTTAGCTATGACAGAATATTACTGTTCCTTTAACATCACTAGGCAGCTCTTGTAAGCTAAAATATTATTTGTACATTTTAGCTTAGCTTGTGATTAATTCTTATTGCTAAGAGCAATTCTACAGAAGAACACGTCATCTGATTTTTGAAGTGTAATACTCAGATTTCTGAACAAACCTGTGCTTGAATTGGAGACTGTTTCTAAAGTTGAAGTCAGCTGAGTAGATTGAAATAATGCAGGTCACATAAATACGAACTAAATGACATTTTAGGACAAGACCCAGAGAACTTCCTAATTTTAACGTCAGTGTAACAAAGAGAGAAATGAATTCTTCAGCTTTTTTTGTGGTACAATGTATACTGCTCTCCTGATTTTGCATTTTTTTTCTCCTAATTCTTGTAACTTTTTGCTATATTTTAGCAAAATATAACTTCTGTATACATATATTTTTCTTTATTTGATGGAAAAGTAACATAGGGTCCCAGAAGCTGAACTTACTGAGCAACTATGTTCTACCATGTATTATGTGCATATTGGTTTTACCTGAAAGCACTTAATTAAGGTATTTATTCTTAACTATGTGAATTGTTACTAAATCAACTGTAGACCAGTCTCTAATTACTCATCTGAAACACATCAATTCAGTGCAGCCAGCTGCAATGCTTGCTGTTTTCCATTATTCATCAGTAATTCATTCTTCTTTAAGATACTTTTAGTATAAAAATAGCTGGTAGAAGATATAAAAAACCGCCATGTAGAGTTCAGAGCGTATGCAGGGCAAGTAGCAATCTGTTCCTTTCCATTCAGCAATGAATTATAAAAGGTAAAGAAGTAGCAGTAATAAATTAAATCACTTGGTGACTGGGATCAAGTGGAGCATTTCGCAGTCTGCTCACCACAAATTTCTTTTTCTTAGTTCAGTGACTCTTTTCAAGTTTAACAGTTGAGATACTGTTATGCTGAGATACTTCACAATACCTGGTAACTGTTTCCTCAGATCATTAATCATTTGTTTCATGTATATTCACAGAAATTTCCTGATTGCTATTTCTTTTGCTTTTGTCTTTCTGATCAAGATTGTAAGTCTTTGAACATGTCTTTCCTAAATACATATTTTCAAGATATAAGCAAACCCATTTTGTGTAAATCAAAATCAGTAATAATAATATTTTTGAATGCTGGTCAGTGAGAAATCAAAACTAGTGGATCTTCTTAGTTTTCTTTAATTTAAAAGATTATTTTGAAAAATGTAATAATTATTACTGATATAGTCTGAAGTTCATAGGGCTGCCACCTAAGCCACAGCACTCTCACTTTTGTCTGTTTGGCTTGTTAGACTTTTGTCTTGCATCCATAAAATAGCTGCTTTAAGGTTTAATTATCTTTTCTTTTGTAGTTGAAATGGTAAAGCTAACCAAGTTGTAACTGAACTATGTTTTCAGAAATGAATTTTTTATTGTGCTCACATGGCTTCCTATATTATACAGAATTTAGCCCTTTGATATCAGGTATTTGTTTAGTTATGTTATCAAGTTTCTAAACAGGCCTTCAGTTAGAATTCAGTGAAGAAATTTGAATGTATTTATAAATCCACAAGTAGTTGAGCAAAATTACTAACTCAAAAAATTTCTTAATGCTTTCAGCAAAGATTAATTCTATAAACCATGATGAGGGAGTCCCTAGCTTTGATTTCTGATCCAGCTTTTACATTGCTTGGGTGGGCTACGACATCAATTCTATTTCTACCCAAAGAAATGTTGTCTTAAATGCATTTCCCTACCTTTCAGTTTAGTGTTTATCTGTGAATGGATTTCTCGTCAAATCCTCCTAAAGCCGAAGGATCACTGTGATTAAGGGAGGGAATTTTTGGGAGAGGGGTCATTGGGAATTTATCCAGAGCCTCTGGAAGTATTATGGATAAACCTGGGCTACCTCTTCTCTATTTGGAGTGTTCAACTGCGTGTGATTTAGACTTTTAAGTTGGACCTCATTTTTTCTGAACCTCCTGATCTTTTCTAGCTCTTTCCATTCTTCTCTCTTGCAGACCTTTATCTTTCAGTCTCCCAGACAGGACAGGTAGACAAAGGTATTGCTGACTTTTAGAAAAAATGTACTTTTAACAAAAAGGGAAAGCAAAATGATGTCAAAGGCAATAAATTATGTAGGCCAGACTCAAAAATTATGTGTAAAAATACCCATATTAGTCCTTGTAGCCTACTTTTTGTGCTAGTTTCTTCTTGTACTTCCCTCATCTTTTTATTGGCTGTAGTGTATTTTACTAGCTTTCCATTGACGTCATATTTTTTATTTTATTTCTCTTCCTGCATTTTAGAATTTAACTTTTCTTTTTATCATTGTTTAAGAAACAAAGGAATATAAACTTATATGAATATTTACAAAAAAAAAAAAGGCAACACTAATCTAAATAAAAGTTGAACACACAGATAACAAAATATGGTGTGATGATATAATAGAAATAGCTTCCTTATTGGGAGAATTTTGTACCTGATAACTTAAAATAGGCAATATGAACCTTTTTGCTTCACCATTTAGTGTTTCCAAATGAAAACAAAGAACTTTTGCCAGTTTTCAAAGAGAAGTGTCAGAATAAGTTTCAGGAAAAAAAGACATTAAAAAAATTGAAACAAAACCAAAACAAATAAAAAACCAAAACCCCAACCAGACACCAAACCTAACAAACTCAAAGAGTTTTATGCATACAGAATAAAATTAAGAGTGCAATTTGTAAAGATCTTCTAACCTTAAGTATATCAAACATAAAATGAGAAGGGCCGTCAGCATGTATTCAACTTCAGATGTATATTTTCTGCCCTTGCAATCTGAATCACTGGATTTTGCTTTAAGATATCTTGGTAACTGCAGTCACTGAACATGAATATTAATAAGGAAATGAAAAAGGAGAAGGAAAATGTGTTTTTGAAGTCCAGTTTATGGTCATTGTCCCCCATCATTTGCTGTTTGTAACATTTAGTTCAGCTCAACAGTTTGAATGTCAGTCAATGTTAATTGCAGTACTTAAAAAGTAATTTCCACTCATTTTAAGTATCTGTGTATTCAAACTACAGGTATCTTAAATAGCTGGAATCTTAAGCAGATGAAGTTTATTTGATTTATGAATAGCTTTGCTCTTTTTACATGATCTAAGATAACGTAATGCCTTCAAGATTTAATAACTGTGATTCTGTAATTGGATTTAGTAGCACAAAGTTGTAAAGTGTTAGCTAAGAATAGTTTTGGAAAGTATGAAACACTTTACCTAAATTTGAAGTATCCTATAGCACATGAAGAAAATTGAGCAAATGACCTTCCTCTGCCTAATATGTCAACACGTGTAACATACAATCTGTATTTCATTGTAGCAGTAGGGAGCTTGATTTCTGTTTTCTTTTTATAATTTGTGTGAAGCTGATTTTCTTTTTTTTTCTGTTCTGCTCACACATACTCTTTTTTTTATTTTTGGGTCTGGCAATGAAAAACAAACAAACAATTAATCATTCCCATCCATTACTCTCTTTGTGATTCAAATGCTTTAAAATTTCTAAGAGTATGTCTTAAGTCTTCTTATCTGTTTGGCCTCATTTTGATATACTTGCAGACTTCATTTTGTTTTTTCTCTAATTATGTTCATTTATTTAACTTCATAAGCAGGGGACATGATCATTCCTTTATATTATGTATTGCATCCTTTCATAGTTTCATAACCCTGCTGCTTTGAAGTCATACTTGTTCTGGAAAGAAGCATTGGTATGAAACACCAGCAGCAGAAAGTCCTAGTACCTCCAAAATACCTGGAAAAGGGTGGCTTATTTTGCAAAGTGTTAGCCTTCATTATTTTGTTTTCCAGTAGGCTGTGTACTTTTATATGTTTATTTTAGGTATAGCTAGCTCTGTATAGAGTTGTTTGGGATGGAGGTTTGAATATTATTTTTTTAATCTGTATATGCATATTAACTGCGTTTGTGATGTGCGATACTTTTTTGAAATGATCTGCATTTCTTTTTAAAGAGTAAAACAAGGTGTCTGAGATCACTTTCATATAAAGTTATTAGTGGGGCATTATGAAAAAGGGTGATGATAAGAATTAAGAAAATGGATTCCTGCAGTGATAAATAATGACCTAAGTAAACTTACAACAGATCATGGTGGCACTTGGTAGACTAGGACCAGTAGAATGAAAGTTCTGTTATTAAAAGTATCTATTCCAACCTTTAAAATAGTTTTTTTTTTTTTAATGTAAATGTCATAGCTTTTTCACTCTGAAAGTATATGAGCATGTTTACATGCATTTTTTACAGTAACCGAATCTAAAATTTTTAATGCACAGTGTTTTAACATTAAAGTGCAACCTCCAATAACAAATTACATTGAGAATACAAAACAGCTGTGGCAAAAATGCGGTGTTCTGTAATACCAGCTGTGTGCAATTCATACTGTATTTCTGAAATTTTATTAATATGTCAAGTTTCAGTTTCACTTGCTTTAGTCATTCGCTTACTGTGGCAGACAACCATCATTCACTGCATGTTTAAAGCTTGCTACGTGTTTTGGTTTTGTTTTGTTTTTTTTTTTCAAGTGAAGCAGTGTTTTCTTTGCACCTCACCAATTTACCCACTGAGTTATTTTACAAAAAAGGCAGTTGAAACTCATCCAGCTCAGTGTTACAGTGATGGCTCTTTAATCAGGTACCTCTATAAGACTCATTAAAGGCACACTGGGCTGGAAGTACTTCTTGTAGTAACCTTGTGTTCGTAAGCACAGTTCACTTTCTGTAAATTATAAATAAATGGAAGACTGCATATTAGTTCACTGTTGACATGCTAAAAAGGAGTGCTAAGGTACTTGTATAATTATATTTTGTTTGCAATAATGTATTAGCTATCCAGTTTGGAAGTTTAAGTACTTTTCAGTCATTTTTATCCATTAAGACATTTTTATGAACTGTTCTCTCTTAGAAATACTGTATGTGACTGTTGTGCTTGATAGGGTTGATGTTAGTTGCGATAAATCACATTCTGCTATGCATATTGACTTACAAACCCACTTAATATAGAGAATTACAGGAGAAGAGAATGTAATAGTTTGAAAATCTCTACTCCAGCGTATGATAGTGAAAAACAATCCCGATGGCAAAAAAAAAGAGGTAATCTGAAATTCATCGTGCTTTTGTCAGGGATCTTTGCTGATCCTGATCCAGAGTTGTCCTCGTGAAATGTGACTGATGGAAGCTGTGACTGTATAGAGGGTGGAAGGGTCATGTCAATTGTGGTATTTTAAATAATTCTCAATTGTGTCTCCATTGTATCCTATGCCATTGGGGCGGGAGGCAGGGGCTAAGTCTGTGTAAAGAGGATAGCTGCAGGTAGGTAAAAATAATGACCAGTTGTACAAAAGCTTTTATTTGTCCATTAAGAATAATAAACTTCCATTAAATTAGGGTAAGGAATCTCCATACTAGTCACCTAGAAGGCATCTCTGTCTTGAATTGCCAGCCATGCCTGTTTGTGTGGACCATGTCCATAACTTAAGATACTTTCCTGTTTTCCCATTGTTTCAGTTACAGATTCATTGCTTTTGTTAATATTTTATTAGTATTCTCATCTTCTCTGTGGAAAACAGTTTACATTGCCCCACTTCTGGTTTTGCTTACAGATCTTTTCAGAAAGTTGCTGAATACAGAATTTAAAGGATAGGACCAAATAAAAGGGACATGCTTTTTTTTTTTTTTTAATCTGGGAATTCTTCACTGGTAGTTACCTCTTGGTTTCAAATTAATATTTCCAAGTTCTCAAATGTAGAAGAACAATGCTGAGCAGCTTGGTATCTTCTGCACTCTTTTTTAATAGATAGAAATAAATTGCAGTGTCTCATACTGCTCCTCTAAGATATTGCAGACTCAGGGATGAAGATTTTGGATACTTGGATTTCTTGAAACTTCTAGTGTTAGGTCCAGGTTTTCCCCTTCATGAAGGTACTGAAAATGAAACAGCAAATGAAAAAGTGAATGATCTGATAGACTTGGTGATGTTAAGGGAAACCAAAGAGAAAGAGTCTTTGAAAATACCTTTTCGTACATTTTTAGTTTTACTTAGCCTGTACTTCTGAGAGCCAATAATTTGGATTATGTCAGGGCCAAAGTGAGAGCAAATTATTTGGTTGCATTTGAGATTTAAGATATCCTGAGCTTTCTCCTCTACCCCTACATGCCTTACCCAGCTCTGGCATTTCTCATATATGAGGGTTTGGCAGGGGGGATATTGTAACAGATGATTCATGGCTCTCTGTTCTCTGTTCCTGGTACTAGGAATCCTCCTGTGACTAAAATTTAGGGATTTATGATGCTTTAGCCTTTCCACATGATATAAAAGGGTTAGTTCAAAATTGGAAACTTTAATCGGTTTTACTGTGACTATGGGTTATGTTTTTGAAGGGAGAAGAGAAACAGAAGGTACTATTTTAAGTGGAATTCTTATGTTAATTTGACCTTACATTTATTTCTTGTAAAGAGTAGTAAAAGGGAGAAAATACTATTTTTGGACAGCCTTTGAAAAGTAGAGTTGTTATCTGAGGAGAATAGTTCAGTAGTGCACGTGGGCACCACGGCACAAGTCAGATGTACTCAGTAATTATACCCTGTAATTGCAATGAATATCAGTGGAAATAAAGACTCTGGAAAGGTTATACTTTAAGCAGTAGTCACATACTGACACTATTTAAGAATCAAATTTGACTCAGACTTTTCCGGATTTTTTTTTTTCTTTTGCTGTCTTCCTTGTTCAAAATTATTTTATCAGCAAATGCTCTCAGTCTTTGACACTCTTATAATAAAGCCATTTTTAAAATCTTCCAGAATTTTTTTCTTTTTTTTTTCTTTTTTCCCCAATAAGAACAAAAATAACAAAAATTGTGTTTACTGTTTTGTGGAAAGCCTGAAGTAAAACCGCACAGCTAATTCTAAATACACACAGAGAAGTGAACTTTTAGGAGAAACATTTCCATACGTTCTAGTACTTTTTATACACAGCATCAAATACAGTACTTAATGATAGGCCTTTTTTAATAGTCCTTGAAATAACAAGGTTTTGAAGGGGTGATCTTCAGCAGCAACAGGGAAGGATCCTGTTCTGTATGTCTTCAGACCTCTGAGCTGTAAATCATTACAGCTGAATGCTGTTTGTTAGCATTTCAGTAATATACCTTAGTGTGTAAACTTAGCAGTCTTTTTATCTAAAAGGTAGAACTAAACGGGAGTCAGTAATGAGATTCCTTCTGTATTGCAAAACTTGCATGTTTATGGAGGAAGGCTCTAGTTTTAAATAGAGACTATGCACAGTAGAGGGCTTTAATACAAAATAGATACTGCAACATTTAATTTGGCATAACCAAGTTATTTTGTCATGCTCCAGTGTGCCTGGGGGCTGCAGGTATGTTAGCATTTAATTTGATGCTGTGGGATAATCGATTACTCCAGTTGGTCTGTAGAAATGATCCCTCTGCATGCTTTTTATTAGCCACAAAAGCAAAGTATTTATCCTTTTCATTTTAACAACCATGAAATACCATATATGTATACATCCATATATATAGTCATTTAGATAAGTAATATGGTTCAACTGACATTCAGTAGCTCGTTACTTTGAGGTTATATATTCTGAACCTAAACCCAACATTAATCAACTGTCAGTCATGTAAACTCTTAGAATAGGTAAGAGAAAAGGCAGCATATGGGATATACCTCAAGATTGTCTGTTCTGTAATGTACATGTTACGCACACTTGGATAAGCCTCCTGTTCCTCCCCACATACTTTTTCATCAAGTTGACATTACATGTCTTACCATATAAAAAGGAATGTGTGACCTGTTTTCTCCTTCTGGTTTAATGTTTTCAAATAACCCATTTCATTCCAAACACAATTACCATCTGGTCTTTATAATTGTGTAACCATGGAAATACTTGAAAAGTTAGTTGTCTGTGTGTATTGCTTGTGAATTTTCTTGTGACCAACTTTGCTTGACTTGCGTTTTTCCTCACTTTATACACAGGCTGGTTTAGCAGGAGCTCCAGCCCGGGCTGTTTCAGCTGTGAAGAATATGAATCTGCCAGAGATCCCAAGAAATATTAATATTGGTGACATCAGTATAAAAGTGCCAAACCTGCCCTCTTTTAGATAACATGGCTACTCCAGGTAAAACCAGGGAAGAAATGTAACAGAGAGTTACCACGTAATTGTTTACTTAATAAACAACATGTCTAACTTTTACTATTTGGATAAAATTCAAGGTACTGTATAGACATAATTTAAAAATCTGTGTGGAGTTGAATGTTGCTTTTGTCTTGTTTGTGAAATTAAAGGAAATGGGTAGTTCCCATGTGTTCCAAATTACATTCCTATGCCCTTGTAAGGCATATCACTGTGTCTTGGCTGCTGCAGTATTTTGGGAAAGTATTTAAGATGTTCTTTACTTTGTACAACCTATAATGCTGAGGTTTTTTGTATGTTCACTGAAGTCTGTAATTAGTGCATTCCTTAACAATTTCTGCTGTTGTCATGATTATCTAAGACTTCAGTGCAAATGTTGCATGAAAACACCAAACTCTTGTCCAAGTAAAATAATAAACTGGACTTCTAAATACCTGTTTGTCCGAAATCTACTCTTCGCAATAAGTCATGTTACTTCCTATTCATGGAGCCAGTTGAGTATATATAAATGCTGTTGTAGCAGGCATTAATGTTGTAGCTTAATCTCTGAAGGAATTACATGGGGATATTGTGTGAACATATTGCCTCTTTACATTTCTCACAAAAGCTGTTCATTATTATTCTGAAGGAAAAATTGCCTTTACTGAAGATCTGATGACTTCTGTTTACATATAGATGTTGAGAAGATACTTACACAATCCATTAGACTTTCTGATGGTCTGATTTGTTTTGAGAAGATTTCTGTGTGTTATTTAAAAAGTACACAATGGGATGAGAAAATTGGGCAGCTCAGAACTGTAAACATGAGTGTTTCAAGTAAGGTGATAAAGACACTCTGGAAAGATAAATAAGGATGCTTTTAATAGTGCCTCTGTGACTGGTGATATTTGTGATTCTGTAGCTTGAGAACTAGATTTGTAAGATGCTTAGTATTGTCAAGACCTCAGAAAATCTAAATGCAATCACCTCTTGTGTAAGTTGCTCAGCTCTTCTACTCTTCTGTGATTTAAGAAAAAGTAAAGCAGATAGTGCTTGTTTTTTATAATCATGCTTCTAAGCTCTGTGTGATGTACAAGTCTGTTTAAATAAACAATAAAAATACTGTTGGCATACCTGAGGATTCCTGTAAAGTTTTCTTCTCCAAAAAATTATGCACCTAATACTGTGTATGAAAATACAATAATAATTGTATCAAGGGCAACACATTTCAGAACTAGTCTGACAGGCCCTGTGTTACTTCAGAAATTTGGATTTTGTGTAAATCAAGCATTCTTTGAGCTGAATGTTAAGACATACCCCATAGTATAAACTTGGAATCACATCACATTTTCTGTTTGATCCATAGTAACGATTGCTGGTCCCTTTTGAGAGATAAAAAGAGAAATTACTTATGAAGTAGAATATCTGGTACAATCCAAAGAATTTTAATTTATTTATTAAGGAGCAGAAAAAGAAGCTTCATATATGTTGTTTGTACTACATTTAAGAAGCATCAAGTAATGCTATTTTATAAATGTTTTTGAAAAACAAATTGTCCTCTCCATATCTCTTGAAAATTAACTTTCTTAGTTTGAGGCTTCAGGAAATTTTGTGTGGGGTTTAAGTAGAAAACTTTCTTATTTCCACTGAAGAAATGGGGAGAATGAAACGTGGCTTTTTTTTTTCCCCATGAAGTATTTTTTAGTATGCCCAAGTTAGACGGTTTAGCTGGTACTAATCTGGAGTTGTTGGAAGTTAACTGCTTTTGTAACTTTCATTTTTCTGCTTAATGCATAGACTGTGTGACATTCAAAGTAAAGATGCTGAAAATTTTCTGCAGTGTTCCCCTTTGAGGCTTTAGTTAGTGCTGCTGCCAAAATGGTACTCTTACCTACAGAAAGTAGAGTGTTCTGGCTATTTGTGAGAGCAACTCACAATTTCAGAAATTCTTCCAAGTTTCACTTTTTTCCCTCTCTTCATTTTGAGATTTGTAAGCTTATGTAGCTAAAACTTTGTCCCTTGCAGAGAAATCTCGTCTGAATTTACTTGAATCAAAATATTTTTCCAAATCCTTAGAGAAAATGTCTGAGATGCATCTTGACATGAAGCATATTTCAGATTCATCTCTCTTATCTATCAGTAGCTAAGCTTTCACTCATTTTTGTGAACTAGATCTTAGCAATTATGACTTTGTTTTAAGCTGTGTGTTTTGCATTAATGTTGTTTATATTTCCTTTCTCCTACCTGACAACATGGCTTCTGACAGGATTCTTCTCTGGACAGCTCGTAGAAACAGACTTTCCAAGAAGCTTCTCTGTTTCTGATTGTTTAATGCAGGGCTGTGGCTAACAACTGGAGCTTCCTTATTCAGAAAGTCCTTGGATGGGAAGAAATTCTTTGTAAGATTTTCACAGTAAAGCCACGCTGCTTTCAAAGAGAGATGTCTCGTGTGCCGAAGAGGTACCACAGAGGAAGCCTGAGTGGTGGCTTTCTCTTTTTTTTTAACTTAAATAAAAAGAGGTGGTATGAGAATGTGGGCTTCCTCAGGGTAGCTGAACCTGTTGGCCACCCCTCTGCCAGGGAACTGTTTTCAGATTGCCATGTGATCTTCAGATCGTATCTTCTTACCATGTCATTTGGCACTGGCTGGCCTTAAACCAGTCAGAGAAAGATGGTATTCTTGATTGATAGAAATTACGGAAGTGGTATTCTAACTCTACCTTCTAGGGCTTGCTTTGTATTGCAAATGTTCAGAGGGTTTCCACAATGCTGATTTGCTTCTATTCGTCACTTCTGTGAAAACGATACACCTTTTGAATTCTATTTCTTCAGTCTCCTCTTAACTAGTGCTTGGGATTTAAAATGGAAATTAGCTATGTGCTGCAAATGATTAAGCTCCTGATTATAAATTTAAATATTTTAATGCTTTTATAATCACACCTCCCCAATCCTTAATATACATTTATGTGTGTATGTATACATAAAATATCAACCTTTTGCACTAATTGATATTAAAAAGGAGGTCATCTTGAGTCATCCTTCAGCTGCAGAACCCAAGCAACTAATTTGCAATACTCCATCTCCATAGGGCCTGCCTTTTACTGACATTCATGAGGGTGCCAGCATGTGTAAATAAATCCTTGACATCCATTTTTCCTAACTGGATATTTCTTAGAACTGCAGATGAAACTTTATTAAACAGTAGCTGAGACTATTTGGTAGGTATGGTACTGGAGATAACGCCTCATTTATTGGTTTCCTACGTTAGGTTTTCTTTCCTGTTCAATTCAGTTTCCTGCTAGTGAAATGCTCTAGGGTAGAGAATTTCATGTGATCATGGCAACTTAACTGAAGTAAGTAGTCTGTACTACTTTTTGATAGTCCTTGATAAATCATGCACAGAGATAATTTTAAGGAGACTTCGTAAAATTAACACAAATTAGCAATTAAGCCTTTGGGATGTCATAATCTATTTTTCCTGTATTTCTTCACCCCTTTTGTTTCTGTATTGTCAGAAGGTCTCTGTATTGCATGTCTCATTATTCCACAAGATAAGGATTTTCTGCATTTGTTTGTATTGTGGGGACGCAGGGTGAAGTACCCTCTGGAAGCAAGCTTGAGGTTTGAGTGTCATGTCTGTTCGGATTCTTTGTCTGCGAACTGTGACAGTCTCATTATGAATTATGCCTTTCAAATTCAGAGATATTTATTGTGAAACAGTAATGGGGAGAAGAGTAAGTCTCCTTTGCCTGTGAGAGCAACTGCCAGTTCCGGCAGCTAATTTTTCTGTGTTGGGAAGAATTATTTTTGGGGTACAGACTCCCTCTCCAGTATTAAGGGGAAAGGTGTTGAACGCATTTTTCCTTCAGAATCCGAAGACTTTCTCTGAAAGCCCAGGTAGAACAGACAGATGATTTTCTTCCTTCTTGCAAGACAGATTCTTGTAAACAAATGGAGAAAGGGCAGAAGGCATAGAAGTTCCAGAGAGTGAGTGCCCAGCTGCCTCCATAGACTTGAAACAGAGCAGCTAGTTCTCCACCGAGGCAGGGGCAGTGAGTACTGCTGAAAAATCTTACTGACCGTTCTTCACTAAAAGAGCAGTATTGTGTGTTAGAATCAGCTGAGGATCCTGTCTGCAGTATTGACAGCACAGACAAGACAGGTACTGTGTCAGTGTGCTCCCCTCTCCTCCCTGGCTAGCAAAGCACTGTTTTGAATATATTTTGGGAAGAGGGAGTACTTTACATACTACAACTGTATACAGAATTCCTCCTCTTAAACAGATGTTGCTGCTATGATTTATTCTGGTTGACAGGAGCAGGTGGAGGGAAGCATCACTTGTTGCGAAAGAAAAACAGGTTCAAGCCAGAAACCCAGGTTGGCACTGTCTTCCTGTGAGCACATGACCTTTCCTTTCTAGTAGCACATTCCAATAAATGCTAAAATTAGTCCTGAATTTTACTTAGGCCTATGCAGACAGCCAAATGGGAACTTGCTAATATTCTAAGGGTTATCTCATAAAGCCCCTTGACACAGAATCATAGTGTATGTGGGGCATAAAATACTGAAGGAACTGGAGATTAAAATGTCACAAATCAAATATTTTCCTGTTCATAACTGTTGAAGAAAAACAGAGCCTAGGTCTCACACAAGATAGATTTCTCAACGTCTGCACAGAGTATTCATAATTTTACTAGGAGCAAGGAAAGCAGCCAAGTTTTCACAAAACTGACTAAAGGTGAACAGCTCATTTCACACAAAATATTTTGTTATTTTATGATTATCATTACAAATTCTAAATCTTTCTTCCTCTTTTCAAATAAGGAAGTTACCTGTCCTTGCAATTTTTGTTGCTCAGTGTTTACTGCAAAACACTGAAGGAGCTCAGGTAATACTATTTCCATTCCATGCTTGGAATCACAAAGGTAGTCACATTGCAATGCCAGCTTAGCAGCCACATTTCTTCCCTGCAGAAGTTTTGGCCATGTGATGCATTAGGTGTGCTGTGACAGTGTGGTCTGAATGGATCAAGACATCTCCTTTTTGCGAAGACTGAGTGTGTCTCTGGCTGGAGTGCTGGATGCATTTGGGTTGTTCGTCATCCATCCCACAAAGCACAGTGAGAGGCACTTGTGCCATATTCCACTGCTTTCCTGCCCAGGTTAAATCTTCTGAGGCTTGGCAGCACACACAGGCTCCAGGTGTTCCTTTCTGGGCTGGCTCTGCTGTCCGGCCAGCCAACAGGACTGCACCAGGAGTGGAGCAAATCCAATTCCAAATTCTCTCTACAAACAGGTCACCAGAGCTGGAGCTGAAAGCAGGCCTGTAACCATGACTGTGAGCTGCTTGGATGGATGTGTGTACGGCATCCCTGCTGTATTTTGGCTTTCACAACCCGATCCGTGGACCTTCTGCTATAATTTTCAGCATTTGACAGAATTGATGTGGGACACAAGTTGAATTTCACAGCTTCAGATGTTTTCAGGGCACCTGCAGGACTCGTGTATGGCAGGATGCCTACATGATCAATGCTCTGTGTGCGCATCTAAGAAACTTTAGCCTTTGGTGTGGCCATGGTAAGCGACCCACATCTCCTCCTCCAAAGGCCCATCCCAACAAATCTGACCTACCTGTCCGCAGAATTGCATGGAGAAAAGCAAAACCAGAATGGACTCTGCATTCAAAATGGTCTTTATTGTGCTGATGTGTTTCAGGACAGCAAAGATCTTGCATGATTCAAGTAGCCATCCTATTCCGATGTGAGTTGCTCTTCTACTTGATGTCAGAAATTGTTTTGATCAGCCCAGGATGGAACTCATGGTTCTGTTCTTTCCTGAGACACCCTGATGTCTTGTGTGTTATAGACTAGCTTGCCTACATCTTTGTACAAAGTCTGCTTCACCAGGGAGGGCTGTCTGTCATCCTTTTGTGTCTTTTCAGGACAGGTATCATCACAGATCCCTCCAGCAAAGTCCAGCAGGGCATGTCCTGCCTGCTGTCCCTCTGCACGATGGTGTGCACTCATTCAAGATGTGATTGCCCTGGCAATTCCCAGAATATATTCCTACATAAAAATATATTAATACAGGCATCTGCACCCTGGCTCAGGTTAGCTTAAAAACAAGGACATAAA